TAAGCTGGGGGTCATTTCATCCAAATTCCCAATGCTTTTGCATAGCCTGGGAGCAAAGTGGGTTCTGTTTTCTCATATTGCTCAGGGAAAACATTTATACTGTTTCAGAAAGTCTCCCTGTTGCCCCAAATCTCATTTTTGCATATGCAGAAAAGCAGCAAAACTGCATCTTTTTTGTGTGCTCAGCAAAGTCCTCACTCACATTTGCTCAGGTCGTGGTAAAAAAAAAACAAACAAAAAACAAACCCAAGCCAGGATTTCTTTCAGCTGGAAAACTGGATTGGAGCTGATTCCCTGCACTGCGGCCAGCAAGGACTGGAAAGAGAAGCCCGAGAGGGATATAAATAAGGAACATCACCCTGAACATTTCTGCTTGTCACTAATTGCTTGTGGCTTCCAAAATCTGGGGCAGAAGTTTGGGTTCTGAAATGAATATTTAGTTGGATGGTAATAAATAATTCAAATGCTGCGTGGGCAGCAATTGCTCCTGCCATGCTCCATGGGGTGGCAAAACCACCCTGATTTCCCTTCAGCAGCAACTGGTTCCCAGTTTCCCTTTGAAAATAAGCAGGGGGAAAAAAAGGAGAGTTTTGCTCTCACCTGAGGGCTGGGAAACCGTGTTTCTGCCTCCCAAGAGCAGCCAGAGATTTTCCCTAGAGAGCAAAAAAAGGGCGGATATGCCAAAATCCAAACTGCTGGAAAATCGCCCCCACTTCAGTGATTCCTGTTTGGGGTCATGGAGAGGGTGGAGGGATTTGGGGACAGCTGGGGGAGCTCCTTGCATAGGGTTGGGAGCTGAGCAGGCTCCAGGCCAGCTGCCCTCCCTCTCCATCCCTTCCCTCCCCTCGGAGATCATCTTCCAGAGGCTTTAGAGGGTCCAATCCAGCCTCCCCCTCCCTTTGGGCTGCAGAGTGTCATCCCCAGCCCAGCAGAGCCGGGCTGTGCTCCGAGGAGAAGGAGGAGCAGGGGCTGGGTGCAGGGGGCTGAGGAGGAGCAGGGGCTGGTGCCGGGGGCCGGTGCTGCCAGGACAGTGCCGGGAGATGCCGGGGGGCCGGGAGAAGCCAGGGGGTCGCACGCTGCGGCTGCAGCCCGGGGACCGCATCGAGGCCCTGTGCGTGCTGGGCTCCCGCATCCACGCCGATGTCCACGGGTGAGTGGGACACCCCAGCCTTCCCTCCCACACCCCCTCCTTCCTCCTCACCTTCACCCCTCCTGCAAATCCCCCTCCTCGTTTTCCCGCCTGCTTTCCCGAACCTCGCGGCCCCGACGCCTTTTTGTGGGCAAAATCCACCCTGGGCTTTGCAAGGCTGCGCAAATCCCGGGAAAGCTTCGAGCACCCCCATTTCCACAATGCAGCGTTTACCCCGAGTCCATGGTGGATTTGATCTGGTGTCATCTTGGAATGCTGCTGGAGAGCGGAGGGATGAGCAGGAGCCACAGGGATGGAATGCAAAGGAAGGGATGCAGCTGGGAGAGGGAAGGAAAACAAGATCTAGCGAAAAAAACCGTGTCTTGGGAAAGTGGGAAATCCCCACACTACCTTCCCTAAAACAATCCTAGTATTGAATTTCAGGATAATTATTCCCCCCCAAGGGGGAAAAGAAAAAAAGTTTAAAAGCTCATTTGGGGATTAATTCTGGTCCTTGCTTTTGCAAATCTCACTCTTGATATTCAAGCCAAGCAGCAGAGTTACGACTCCCCTGGCACCTCTCCAGGTCAAATTCCTGGTGGGATTCCCAAAACCAAGAAACAAGGAAACTGAACCAGTTTTTCCATGTATAATTAAAAGTAATTTAACAATTTCAGAGACACCCAGGCAGGAGCAAAGGAGTGCTCAGGTTTCCTCCCTCCCCCCTCCCCGACGGGGCAGGTTTGGTGGGACCATCGGCATCCAGAAACCATCTGAGCAATGAAGCCGTAACGGGGATCCGGCACCAGCTCTCGGGTGTCGGGGCAAACAGCTCAAAAATAATAACCTAGAAAGACTGGGAAATTCGGGAAAAGGAGCCAGGAGAGGGGAAGGGGTTGCACGAGGTGGCTGGGGAGGAGCGAGGGCACCCTGGACTGGGAGATGTGCAGCACCAACAGCTTTGGGGTTGGATAAAATCAACCCCAAATTAGCTGGATAAAATCAGCCTCAAATTAGAGTTTCCCATGGAAAAGTCTCTCAGTGTTGTGATGAGCTGTTAAACACCGGGTTTGCCCAGGCTGGAAAGTAAACAGGGATTTCTCCATTGAAGTGCAAGCCCAAGTTCAATTCCAGCAGCACCAATTAGACTGGGATTATTAGAGATCCTAATCTGCACCAATGGCTACAAATACCAATGTGCTAAACCAGCATCTTCTGCTGGGAAGCAGAAATTTGGGAAAAGGAGCCAGAAGAGGGGAAGGGGTTGCTCGGAGTGGCTGGGGAAGAGAAAAGGCATATGGGACTGGGAGTGGGGCAGCACTGACAGTTTTGGGGTTGGATAAAATCACCTCTGATTTAGTTGGATAAAATCATCCCCCTTAGAGCTTCCCACAGAAAAGTGTCTCAGTGGAGTGGCCACAGTGCCGTGATGAGCTGTCAAACACCAGCTGGAAAATAAACAGAGATTTCTCCACTGAAGGGCATTAAACCCAAGTTTAATTCCAGCGGCTTGGTTGAGATTATTATAGATCCTAATCTGCACTGGCTCAAATACTCCTTGTGCTAAAACAGCATCTTCTGCCCTAAAAGCAAAGGACAACTCAAACTCCCAGGGAGGCAGGAAAGGGCAGCAGGAGCCGGTGGCGAGTGTGGTGACGCCGGCGTGCCCGGTCTTGGCCATGGAATTAATTGCAGTGAGAACTGAGTGTTTTGGGTGCAAACCTCTCCAAACGTAGAATGTTTCTGGCAGAGCGGCCCCAGCCGGAGCGGTTTCCTTTGGGGTGAAGCACACGGAGGGGGTCAGTGTGGATGTGGTGTCCCGGGGCCGCGACGAGGCCGAGCCGGTGCCCGGCAGTGGGACGCGGTGGCCACTGCAGGAGGGGACAGTCCTGAGGTTCAGCATGAGCCAGCCCAGCACCGAGATCAACGACAACAAGGTGAGGGATGGGACAATCGGGTGTGGGACCTCCACGGATGGAGAACATCCTTTCCCAATCAGGGATCTGGGGGTTTGCAGGTCACTGTCAGCTTTTATGGAGAGGAAGGGAAGCCCATCACCCAAGCCGGGGTCTTCCTCACTGGCATCGGTGAGTACGGAGGCTCCTGGGTGCAACAACCCATCCTCATCCCGTTGATCCCTTGGGTGGGTGGGGGGACGGGTAGACCCACGTTTGCCGGGTCTGGGGGGATTTTTCTCCCACCCAACCTTGCTGTGCCTTGGGTTGATGGGTGGGTGAAACCCATCCTGTGCATCCAGGGATCTCCCTGGACGTCGATGCGGACCAGGACGGCGTGGTGGAGAGGAACAGCCCCAACAAGGTAACCCCTCTCCCTCCACATGGAAAATCCACGGGCTTGCCTGAGGCTGAGCTTGCTGAGCCTCAGTGGGCTGTTCTAGGCCAGCTGGAGCTGGGGTCCCGAGGGACACGGCGCCATCCTGCTGGTCGGCTGTGACAAGGAGATTCCCTCCGCTCCGGCGTCCGACTGCGACAACGAGCAGGTGTTCAACAAAGAAGGTAACAGAGCTTCCCAAAAATCCTCCATGATTCCCTCTCTCGAACATTTTTTGGGACAGAATTTTGCTCAGGAACCAGCTGCTCTCCGCCAGCTGTTGGACATGCTTCCCACGTGGGAATTTTTTTGCATTTCATAACACACAAAGCATTTGTGGCCAAGCAGAGCCATGAAGCTGAGCCTGAAAAATCACCAGGGCTGCCTCACACAGGTGAAAGGAGCTCAGGATAAGGCAGCCAGGAATACACCCACCTGTTCCTGGAAAACTAAAACCACACGGAGCCAGTGCCCATCAGGTTTCTGAGGTCAAGGACAGGCCGTGCCAGGGGTGAGGAGGGAAAATAAAAGCTAAAAAGGGCATTTGTTTCCCAGCACGAGGCACGGGCTTTGCCAGCAGGAGCAGGGCTTGTTTTTCCAGGTTGCAAAGGGTGGTGGTGAGGGAAGAGCAGCTTTCTTGGGAAGGAGGTGCAAACTCCAGGAGGGAGCATATAAGACATCTCCTAATTTTGTTGTTTGCCCCCCAGATTTGGAGGACATGGCCCAGATGGTGCTGAGGATGGAGGGGCCCCAGCGCCTGCCCCGGGGGTACGAAATCGTTCTCTCTGTTTCTGTCCGTGACGCCGACAGGGTTGGGGTGTTCCATGTGCAGAGTAAGTCCTTCCTGCCTCCTCCTCTGCCTCCTCCTCTTCTGCCCCTTCCTCCTCTGTCTTATCTGCCCCTTCTTCTTCTTCCTCTTCCTCCTCTGCCCCTTTCTTCTCTGCCCTCCCTCCCTGTCAGCCTGGTGGCATTTTCATCCCATGGATGAGCAGAAACTCCATGAAAATGCCTTCCCAGTGGCTGCTCCATCCAAGGAAAGGCCAAGATGTTTTTCCTCATACTCATTGTCCATGACAAAATTGCGAAATCCTTCCATCCTGTTTTGAGGTGGTTCTAACAGACAAAGTTGTATCTCCATGGAGGTGGAAAAACTCCAGCACAGAGGGACTGTGAGTCCTCCTTGCACAAGGAAATAGGCTTGGAACACCAATGAAGGCTTGGAATTGTCCCATTTTCCCCGTTTCCTTGCAGATCCCTTCTTTGGGCAGCGCTATGTGCAGGTGCTGGGCTGCAGGAAGCTGTTCCACGCCGTGTCCTACCCTGGGGGGGCTGCCGAGCTCGACTTCTTCGTCCAGGGGCTCTGCTTTCCCAACGATTCCTTCTCCGGGCTGGTCTCCATCCATGTCAGCCTCCTGGAGATGCTGGCAGAGGTCTGGGAGCTCCAGGGAAGGGGTGCAGATGGGGTCCCTTGTTGCAGCTATCCCAGAGAAGGGGATGGGGAGGGAATGGAGAGTGATCCCCATTAATTAACCCCAGAAAGGACCTCAGTGGAAGGGCATTTGGGGGGAATAGTGTGTGGACAGACCCCGATTCCCACCTGCTCCCTCAGGGTATCCCCCACACTCCAGCCTTCACGGACACAGTGGTGTTCCGGGTGGCCCCATGGATCATGACCCCCAACACCTTGGTGCCGGTGAACGTCTTCCTCTGCAGGTGAGGCCGGGGAGGGTATTCCCAGCCAAACCAGTCCTGGAGACAGGCTGGGCAGAGGCAATATCCACCCTTCATCTCCTTCCCTCCTGCCACCCCCTTTCCCAGCATGAAGGACAACTACCTGTTCACCAAGGAGATCCAGACCCTGGTGACCAAGGCCGGCTGCAAGCTGAAGGTTTGCTTCGGATACACCAACCGTGGGGATCGCTGGATGCAGGTAGGGGGGCTCCAGAGGCAGGGAAAAGCTTTTCCTTCCTGTGCCCCATGCGGGATTTCCTCCCTTCTTCAGGATGAGATTGAGTTTGGCTACACCCACGCTCCCCAAAAGTGCTTCCCAGTGGTGCTGGATTCCCCTCGGGATAGAGGGATGGAGCAACTCCCCGTCAAGGAGCTGCTGGTAAGAGAAGGATTTGCTTGCATTGCCTGAGGAGCAGCTTGCAGGTTTTATTCCTCATGTAATTCCCCACTCCTAAAACCCTCCTGGCACTTGGTTCCTTGGAGGCCATACAAGGAATTGCCTGGAAAATGAGTTTAACAGCTCTGCATGGAGATACCATCCCATCCACTTCCAATTGGGAGCACACCAACACCTTCACTCCCCCTCAAAGCAGGGATCAGAAGGTGTTGGGTGAGAGAGGAAAGGAGGAGCTCACGCCTCCGGGAATGAAAGATTCCTGCCAAGCTCTGGGACTGGAATTCTTCACCCTCAGCACCCCAGTGGTGGGCTGGTTTTTCCTTTCCTCCCCTATGCCTGTGAATATCCAGCAGCTTCCGAGCAGGAGAGGAAAGGGAAGCATGAGAGGGGTCAACTTACTTCCTTGGAAGAGAACAAGCTGCCAACAGCATCCCCGTGGGGCTTCTTTGCCAAGGCAAAGGGCCAGCCATGGGCAGGGCGTGCCGGGACGGCGGTGACCCCGCAGAGGGCGATTTGGCAGAGCCCAGCAAAGACGAGCATGGAAAAAAAGATGATCCCCTTGAGATCCCACCATGCAGAAAGGGCAGGACACCCCCAAATAGCCACGGAATTGCTGTCCCACACTCCCAGCGGGCGCTGGCAGCAGCCTCAGCCCGGATCCTCTCTCCGCCAGTAACGGGAGAAGAGGACGAGTCACTTTTTTTGTCACTTTGGGGAAGGTTAAGAGCTTTCAGGAGCATTGAAATCCATCTTTTCTCATGCCTGACATGAGTACATAGAGTCTCGGAGTCATGCGGCGGGTGGCAATAGCGAATAAGCAGGCGCCCGCTCGGATCTGCCCTCTTTAGGAATTGCTTTGCTCCCTACTTAGGGAAGCAATTTCAGCCTTGGGAGCCGCTAACACATTATTCTCCAATTTCTGCTTTGAAGCCTTCCCTAATCCCCGCCGCTATCGTTCCAATCTCATTTTCCAGCTCAGAATATTGAGCCAAACTCGGCACGCACGGGGTCCTCCTCGCGCCCCGGCCAAGCCCTAAGCCCTGGGACCCTGCGCCAGGGAAACGGAGCCAGCAGGGAATTAGCCCCTCAAAATCAACGGGGAACTGATAGGACTTGGATGCGACCCGCAAACCTGGGATGAACCAGCGCCTTGACAGTTGAAACCGGAGGGGCTCCGTGGTTTATTAAACTGAAACAAGCTGAGAGCAGGTGTTTCATGCTCAGTACCCCCTCAGCACCCGGAGAGAGGAGCTGATCCCAGCCATCCCCCAGAGACTCCCCAAAACCGCACGGGGAGCCTCGAGGAAAGCTGTGCTCTCTCTATCCCAGCTTCTCCAAACACCCTCAATTGAAAAAAGGAATTTCTAGGTGGAAGTCAAGCACTCTCGGGTCTCCCTGCTCATTTTTCCCGACCTGTATATTTGGTTTATCCCCATGGAAACCCAACCCTGATAAGTGATTGGGATTTAACTCCAACCTAACAGATACCTGATCTGGTCCCAGGGGCTGCCGGGAGCTCCAAGCCCGTGTTGACTCAAACTGGAGATCAAGGACAGGTCCACGACAGGAATTGTGTCCCATCGTTGCCATTTTTGCCCTGTTTTTAACTCCACAATCTCCCCTTTGGGCTTTGACACATCACAGCCAAGAGTTAATTACCCTGCATGCACAACACCCTAAGTCCCAGATATATTAAGACCTGGAAATCAGGGCTTAAGCAGGATTTAAGTGCCATACAGCCCTTTGGGTGGCTCTTAGACTCACCCTCAGGGGCTGCAGTTCATCCCACTCAGGAAGAGCCATCCAGAAGCTCTGCTCCAGGGCTGCCCTGGCACTAATTAACCTAATGTGGACACTTAACTGTTGGCTCTGGTATACCAGAGGAGATGTGGGATCTCAACGCCTCAGCTCTGCTCCCGGATTTTGCCGTTTATTCCCGAGCCTCCGTGACCCAGAGACCTTTCTCCTCTCACCTTTCCTTTCCCCTCTCCTCACCCGTGGATGGGTCTCCCTCCTGCTGTGTTTACCCTCTGGAGCAGGTCTGAGCCTGGCTGAAGGATCAAACGCCAGAGGCAGGAGGGACTCAGGGCAGTGATCCCTCTTTTCCCAGGGCTCCAATTTCGGCTATGTGCACAAGGAGCCCCTCTTTGAAGCCATCACCAGCCTCGACTCCTTCGGCAACCTGGAGGTCAGTCCGCCCGTGTCCGTGGGGGGGAAGGAGTATCCCCTGGGCAGGATCCTCATCGGCAGCAGCTTCCCCACGTAAGGCATGGGGAACACACGGATTTGGGAGCAAAGGAACCACAAGAGCCCCAAAATATCATCAAAGTCATGTTAATTGGGTTAATTAGACCTTCCCTGAGTGGCTATGAAAGGGGTGGGCGCGCTCAGTCTCCTCCACCTTGGCGGCTATTTACATCCAAGTACGTGTTGATGGATAAATCCTCACCCTCGCATTCCCTCTCTTGGGGATTTCACTCCCAGATCTGCAGGGAGGAGGATGACCAGGATGGTGAGGGACTTCCTCCATGCTCAGCGAGTCCAGGCTCCTGTGGAGCTCTACTCTGACTGGTTGGCTGTGGGCAACGTCAATGAGTTCCTCACGTTCGTGCCCACCTCGGACAAAAAGGTACCCCAAAATCCCACATCCCTTTGGTGTTCCTCTTCCAAGATACTAATCCCATTAGGACACCTCTACGAAAAACCCCAAAACTCATTTCTTTGGCACTCCTAACCAGTTTGGGTTTCACTCCTGTCCCCAAAATGAGGGATCTGAGCATGAAAGGGGACTCACTGAGCAAATAATTAACAGAAACAGAAGGGAAACAATGCCTGCACAGGTAGTCCAAGAACTTTAAACCTCAAGATTCCAATGTAAATCCATGAGCCTGGAGATTCCCAGTGCCTCAGCTTCTCCCAGATGTTTCCAAAACATTTCTCTTTCCTCTATCACGTTTTTTGCTGCATCTGATACAGATTTTTCCCTCAGGGAAACCCTGACACAAGACTTTTCCCTCAGGAAAACCAAGCCTTGACCTGGATGACTCAAAAAAGGAAACTTTATGACCACACGTTCCCCACAAACCCTCCAAGCATTAAAAAAGGCACTAAATAGCAGCAAAGACACCTAATTCAAAGGGGTTTAGCACAGGTTCTTTGCAAAAGCAAGTCCCTGGGGTCTCCTGAGGCTCTGGAAAATTCCCTTCGGGTGACTCCTCTCCTTCCCACCTTCCCACAGCGATTCCGGATGCTGATGGCCAGTCCTGCCGCGTGCTACAAGCTTTTCCGGGAGAAGCAGAAGGAAGGCCAGGGAGAAGCCACCATGTTCAAAGGCAAGGGGACACGAGTGGCTCTGGGCAGGGTTTGGTGTCAGCGGAGCTGCAGCAACCGGGCCGAGGGCAGCCGGAGGGACAGGGGGACTCGGGGCCACACAGGGACATCGTCCCACCCGGTTGTCCTTCACAGCTGGTAAACTGTGATGGGATGCCCACCCACCACCCCCAGCCTCCTCACGGCCTATTTTGGGAAGCGAGTGGGATGGCAGGGATAAAGCCCTCCGCGTGGAGGGGATGCTTGGTTGGTGGCATGGAGCATCTCCAAATGCCAGCGGAGCTCTGGCACGGAGTGGGACAACTGGCAGCTCTCATGTTACCCAAATTAGCACTCTTTTGTCGCTTTGGGAATCCTTTCTTTGGGATTTTGATCCACGATGGGGTTGGAAGTATGTCTCCATATCTCCACGGGTCCCTCAAGGTCACTGAGAAGACCCAGGTGGCCCCAAACCAGGGGGTGGATCCAAATCCTGGAGGTGGATGCTCTGGAGAAATTCAGCAGATGACGATTCCTGTGGGCAGGAAGATGGATGACAAGACCTTTCCAGTGCTCTTTCCAATGGGCAGAGCTTTTCTTCCCTCACTTTCCCAATACGCTAAGAATTGTGACTCCAGCAACCTTACTCCAAGCTCAGGAAATTGGGATATGGGGGACTTTATCCATCTGTGTACCCCATCCTAAGCCAGGCTTCATTTTGATGGGACGTTGCATTTTTAGGGTACTCGGGGACAGACACAAAACGAGTCACCATTAACAAGGTCCTTTCCAATGACATCCTGGCGCAGCAGAACCAGTATGCCCAGGTAAGAACTGACATTTTTGGTAATAATTTATATTTCTTGCAAAAACTGCCCTAGTGTGGTGCAAAGGGAGGTGGTGTGTTTTGGCTCTTCTCCTGCATGAGATGGTTTTGGGGACTGTGCCCACGTGTGTCCCCCCTCAACCTGCCCTTCTCCATCCCCTCCAGCGCTGCATCGACTGGAACAGGGATATCCTCAAGAGGGAGCTGGGATTGACGGAGGAGGACATCATCGACCTGCCCGCCCTCTTCAAGCTCGACAAGCAGGGCAAAGCTGTGCCGTATTTCCCCAACACGGTGAGGGGGTCCCCACTCCTCAGGTGCTCTCCAAAGACCAGCTTAGTCAGCCAGGATGAGTCCCCAGAGTTGTCCCAAAACAAATCAGCTGTCTAGAAAAAGGAAATATCTCCATTCAGCAGGCCTAACATAACTTTGTGGCTTTGTGTTGCTTGCAGTGGGGTTTTAGGCAAAAACCCTCTCAAAGCAGTGAAATTGCAATAGTGAGGTGGGGTTTAATGATAAAAAAGGGAAAATTATGTTGGATTTGGAATTCTGTGGGAGGGTAGCTGCAGAAACTGGTGTTGATGGGCTGAGGCTGATGGAGGAGGGTGACCAACACCTTCCCTTGGGCATCATCAACCCCAACACCGCTGATCTCCCCCGGTGTCACCCCACAGGTCACCATGATTGTCCTGGCCAAGGAGTTGGGCATCCCCAAACCCTTCGGCCCCGTGACAGCAGGGGAATGTTGCCTGGAGCAGCAGATCCGCTCCCTCCTGGAGCCACTGGGTCTGAGCTGCCGCTTCCTCGAGGAGGTGGCCTCCTACCATGGCAGCCTGGGTGAGGTCCGGTGTGGCACCAACGTCCAGCGACGGCCCTTCGCCTTCAAATGGTGGCACTTCATGCCATAGCAAGACCTTCTTCTCCTCTTCTTCCTCTTCCTCCTCCTTCTCTCTCCTCCCTCCTCCCCAGTGGCTTTTTCAGTGTGTGTTGCTTGTGATTCACTTAATAAATATATTTGCTGTGAGGAAAGAGTCATGAAAATACATAAGAATGGGCAGTGATTGCGCAAGAAAGGGAGGGAAGCCCTCAGAGGGGTGAGGGGGCAATTTTTTTGGAAGGGTAGAAGCTTTTGGAAGGTGGTAGAATGACCATCCCTGGAGGTGTTCAAGGAACAACCATGTCACCAAAAATTGTGAAATAAACTCTCTAACCAGTTTGTTGGGTTGGAAAGTCAACATTAGTCAACACTGAGGTACATGGAGATCACTCCACAAAACATGTACATCAGTTATCAAAACTTTTAACTATTTATAAATTCTAGCAAACGAAGGAATTGGTATCCATTGGTTTACAAGTTACATAGTTCTCTTAATTAATTAGTATTCTATCTTCTATTTATTGTTGATTTTTTGCTTCTCATGCTGATTTTCAGTCTTTTTATTATCTTTTTCCCATATAGGGAGAGTCTCAGTAATGGTCTTTGATAGTTTCCTCTTCATATCTGTTTTCTGTGTCTTTGTGCTTTATAAATCCTACATTCCTGGTGTCCAAGTCTCAACAGTAAATTTCTCTCCTAGGTTTTGTTAACCTTTCTCCCCCAGGTCTGAGAACACCAAAGTACATCAAGCCCCAAACTTTTGTTTTTCTAACACGTGGACATCACCCATTGCTTGCCTGTCATCCCTCATCTATTCCATGGATTAAATCTCTCAGCATTTCCCCCACTGCTGCACAAACTCCTTTTTAAAAAAAAAGCCTTGTTTGGTAACAATACTGAGACCTTCACCTCCTCCTCTCTCTTCACCCTCCTCCTCCTTGTTCTCTTCCTGCCTCCACCTTTGCCCCCAGCGGCTTTTTCAGCATGTGTTGGTCACAACTCACTTCACAAATAAACTTGCTGTGAGGAAAAAGTCGTGAAATTCAATAATAATGGGTAATAATCGTAAGAGAAAGGGAGGGAAGCCCTCAGAGTAGGGGGGGGTAATTTTTTGCAAGGGGCTGTGCAGGGAGGTGGTGGAATCACCGTCCCTGGAGGTGTTTAAGGGAAGACTGGACGTGGCACTTATTGCCATGGTCTGGGTGACAAGGGGAGATCGGTCACAGGTTGGACTCGATGATCTGTGAGGGCTTTTCCAACCCCAATGGTTCAGTCACTCTTTAACCCCCCGCACTCGCCATTTTGCCCTGCTCGGTGTTGGGGCAGGTCCCCTCGTGTGAGGGGAGGGTTTGGGCACCTCCGTGCAAACGCAGTGAGGCTGGGAATTACTGATGAAAAAACAAGGGGTCATTTTTGTGGAATTCACACCAAAAACAAGGGGGGATTTAGGCGTCCTGGCCCCGCCACCCCGCTTTGTAACGCAATACGCGCCACACTCAACATGGCGCCTGCCCTGAGGCCGCCGCCACCCCCAAGATGGCGGAGGGCGCCCGCCTGCCCCTCAGCGCACAACATGGCGGCGCCGGGTCACTTCCGGCGGGTTCGGAACTGCGCAGCGCCAAGATGGCGGCGGCCGCGCTCGGAGTCTCCTTGAGGCACCGCGTCCCCGCGCGGCTCCTGCGGGCCGGGCTGCGGGCGGTGAGGGGGCTGGGGGGCTCGGGAGGGGCGCGGAGGGGCGCGGGGAGGAGGGACAGGGGGCAGAGGGGAGGCTGGAGGGAGTGTGGAGGGAGATGGGGGGCTGGAGGGGGTGTGTGGGATTTGGGATTGGGCATGAGGGGAAGGAGGTGAGGGGTGGGAGAGGGGGATGGAGGGAGGGGGCTGTGGGGCAGGACGGAGTCCGGGATGCGGTGTGAGATGGGAAGAGTGGGTGGGAGAAGGGCAGTGGGAAGAGGATCAGTGGCAGAGGGAGTTGGGGGCAATGTGTGGGAGCTGGGGATGGACAGGAGGAAAGGGATGGGAGAAGGGGCTCTGGGCAGGGGCTGTGGGGCAGGATGGGGTCCGGCATTCGGTAAAAGAGGGAGGAGTCGGTGGGAGAAGGCGAGTGTGAAGAGGATCAGCGGCAGAGGCGGTTGGGGGGATGTGTGGGAGTTGGAGGGAGTGTGTGGGATTTGGGAATGGGCAGGAGGGGAGGGATGGGAGAGGGGGCTGAGAGGGCTGGACGGGGTCTGGGATGCGGTAAAAGGTGGGAGAAGGGGGTGGGCTGCGGGACAAGGGGATCAGTGGCAGAGGGGGCTGGAGGGGGTTTGGGAGGGGAGGTGAAGGGTGGCAGAGGGGGCTCTGGGCAGGGGCCAGTCCAGAATGGGGTAAAAAGTGGGAAGAGTGGGTGGGAAAAGGGGGGTGAGCTGAGGGGGAAGAGGATCGGTGAGGGGGATGCTGAGGAGGGTCTGGGGGTGAAGAGAAGCAGGAAGGGGTCTGGGAATGGTTTAGGGGGAGATAAAGGTTGACAGGAAATTGTGAGAGGGGGAAACACACCAGAAAGGGGTTGGGAAGAGATGTGGGAACAGGGGGAATAGGGATGTAGGGTGAGTTAGGGAGAGGTGAGATGGGAAGGTGGCCTGGAGGAGGAAGAAGCTCCCTGGGGGAATAGCGGGAGGAGGTGGTTTGTTGGCCCGGAGCTGGGTAGGGAGTATTTAGGAACTTCTGGAGGTAATTTGGGGGCAGGGAGAGCCTTCAGGGTTTGAAGGCCATGGTGCCTCAGGAACACCTGGGGGAGTCCCTTAATTTTGGCATTATCTCCAGTGCCCCATGGAGGAGGGAGCCCCAGGATGGGGGGGGTTGCATCACCAGGTTACACCGCTCCCACAAATCCTTGTCAGGATGTTCCCAAACCTCTCCAAATCCCCAAATACAAAGCAGTGCTGCCTCCTGTCACCCTGTTCCCTGGCCCCAAGGCCCGTGGAGGGAGCTGAGGGCAGTTTTCCCTGTGGATCCAGGAGTGCCGGGGAGCCCAGACGGCAGCGGCGGCAGCACCGCGGCTCAAGAAATTCGCCATCTACAGATGGGACCCCGACAAAGCCGGGGACAAACCCCGCATGCAGACCTACGAGGTGGACCTCAACAAGTGAGTATTCCCTGCGGGAAGAGCTTTTCCAGGTGCTAAAGGTGTCAGCAGCTCACTGAGCTCCAGGGAATGATAAAAGCTTGGAGTGGCCCTGAAGGTGCTGCTCAGTTGTTACAGAGCAGCTTGTCTTCAGCACAGGGGACACTGATGGTATGTCCTGATAAGAGAATAAATTTAAATTATTAATGAATAATAATTTTGTTATTGCAGATAATTTATTGGTAATATAATTAAAATGTTTTGGGTTTAATATATTTTAATATATGAAGATATAGTTTTATAAAATTTTATAATATAGATATCTTTTAAGTTATAGAATGTATTTTATATTTCTATAAAATTATAGAATACATTACATACTTATGTATAATTATATAATATATTTCTATACAATTATATAATAGATCATATAATGTATATTTTAAAATAATACATCTTTTTAAATATAATTAATAAAAAATCCCTGATAATATAATCAGTTATATAACAAATTTTACTGTGGTTTTATGGGGTTGTTTGCCCCTTCCTCACCTGTGTGTGACAAATAAACTGTGCCCTGAGTACCAGTGTCCCAGCAGGGAATGGTCACTTTGTTTTGGGACTTTTGTGAGGTTTTATCTGTGTCTCTGAGTTGTGCTGAAGACTTGAAGACTTCAGTAAACTTTATTTATGTGAAAAAATTTGAGGCTTCTAAAAAAGAGGGAGAGCGATTTTTTTACGTGGGCAGGTGGTACCACAAGGGGATGTGGTTTGAAACTAAAGGGGAGAGATTTAGGTGAGATATTGGGAAGGAATTCCTGGCTGAGAGGGTGGGGAGGCCCTGGCACAGGTTGCCCAGAGAAGCTGTGGCTGCCCCTGGATCCCTGGAAGTGTCCAAGGCCAGGTTGGACAGGGCTTGGAGCACCCTGGGACAGTGGAAGGTGTCCCTGCCCATGGCAGGGGGTGGCACTGGACAGTCTTTAAGGTCCCTCCCAAGCCAAACCATCCTGGGATTCAGTGTTCCAAAATGACACTCCGTGTGTAACTCCCAGTCCCAGAGCTGGGAGAGAAGGTGGAAGTTTGTTCCCACTGAGTTGCCTCTAATTTTCAGGCCATATTAACCTTTTGGAACCACCTGCACACTTTGGTATGGGATCCCCAAGACAGCTCCTGCTTCCCTGGGATTCTGGGAAGGGGTTCAGATTCCCTGTGGTGCAGAAACCTTCTCCTGGACACATCCTGCATTTGCCTGAGCTCCAGCTGGTGCTGTGCTCCTGCCCCAGGAATTCACCCCGAGCCCTTTCCAGGAGTTCCACACACAAATTCCCCAGCCCCTACTTAAGAACCCCGTGACAGAGGACTCAGATTTCTGTGTGACTTGCACTGGTGGATAATTTCTGGGTGTTGCCCTGTCTGCTGGGTAGAAAATTACAGAAGTTGTCCACGACTGTTTGGTTTTATGTGTCTCTTGTGACTAATGGGGACAGACTGACTTGTTAAAGCCTGACCCAAAAGCAAAGAGAACCAGTACAAGGCACTTGGGGTTGAGTTGTGCTGTCTGAACCTTCAGGGCATCAGCAGGATAAAGGGTTTGACTCCCACCCTCATCAAGAAATCTGTTTTATTGCCTGGGATTGCCAAAAAATGTGTATTAATTGCAGCTGATCCAAAACCCTTTTAGGTGCTGCTTAGTTGGGGTGCCAGAAGTTCAGCCCTGAGTCTGGGGGGATTCTCCAGGTGAACTGACCCTGTTTTCTGCTTTAGGTGTGGGCCCATGGTGCTTGATGCTCTGATCAAGATTAAAAACGAGATGGACTCCACCCTGACCTTCCGTAGGTCCTGTAGGGAAGGTAAGAAGGATTTTCCAGCCTGGAATACTGTTTGTTGCTGACAGTGGACGTGTAGCTCTGGAAAACTCTCCCAGCTGTGTG